CCTGCTGCTCCTGCTGCCGCCGCCGCCGCCTGTGGCGTCGGCCACCGACCGGCCCCGGAGCAGCAACCCTGTCAACCCAGGTGAGAACCCGGGGAGGGCCGGCCGGGCCGAGTGGTCGCCCAGCTGACGTGTCTGCCAGCCGGGCCGGGGTGGGGGTCGGGGGCTCAAGGAGGTGACCGGCCTCTCCTCCGCCCAGCGCGCTCCTTGGGGCCAAATCATGCGGCCCCTCTCCAACTCCCCATCCTTAACTGGGGTTTCCAGCCTCCCCATGCGAACTGAACCCAAATCCTTAGATGTCACTCCCACCCCTCTCTCACTGAGATGAAGAGTTTCAGAGAGAATGGGAAAGAAGAGGAAAGGGACAGTAGTAGAGTCATAGAGAACAGAAGGGGCCTTCGGAGAGCGAAGCACGTGGGGCACGTGGAGCCGGGTGGCTGGGTCCCGAGTGTCAATTCCCCGTTGGTGACAGAGAAGTTGCTGGTAATCACCGTGGCCACAGCCGAGACGGAGGGATACCGGCGTTTTCTGCAGTCTGCTGAGTTCTTCAACTACACTGTGCGGGTGAGGAGAGGGCAGGCCCTCAGGTCCCCTGGGAGCCAGTTCCAGCAGGAGGACTGGGCTGAGGGCTGGATGCCTGGGTCCCCATGGTAAGCCCGGTCAGGAGACCCCCACACACACCCTGGCCGACTGAGTTCCTCCCTGGCATGGCGGGTGTCCCCCACAGACACTGGGACTGGGAGAGGAGTGGCGAGGGGGCGATGTGGCTCGAACAGTTGGTGGAGGCCAGAAGGTCAGGTGGCTGAAGAAAGAAATGGAGAAATATGCAGGCCGGGAAGATATGGTCATCATGTTTGTGGACAGGTAAAGGGGTTGGGGATGGGGAGAAAGGAGAGGGAGAACATGACGAGGGATAAAGATGCTTAGGTTCCTAGTGGCCCTCTGCTTATCCTCCCCTTCCTTGCCCAGCTACGATGTGATTCTGGCTGGAAGCCCCTCAGAGCTGCTGAAGAAGTTTGTCCAGAGTGGCAGCCGTCTGCTCTTCTCTGCAGAGGGCTTCTGCTGGCCCGAGTGGGGGCTGGCGGAGCAGTACCCTGAGGTGGGCACGGGGAAGCGCTTCCTCAACTCTGGTGGTGAGTGGCAGAGTGCCCAAGGCAGAGGGGCCAAGAGCAGTGGGCATGGACTATTCCAGGTACCGGTGGGCTGGAGAGGGAGAGGGGACAGGCCTGTGGGACCCTAGGAGTCTTGGGGTCAACACCTCCCCTCCCCCCAGGATTCATCGGCTTTGCCCCCACCATCCACAAGATCGTCCGCCAGTGGAAGTACAAGGATGATGATGACGATCAACTGTTCTACACGCGACTCTACCTGGACCCAGGACTGAGGGTAGGGAGGGGCGGAGGATGGGAGACCTCAGGCTGAAAGGGAGAGAAAGGGTGAAGGGGGCTGGGGAAGATGTAAAGAGAAAAGTGTGAGAAATTATGTTCCTCCCCTTCTTTGATTAACCACTCCATCTCATCCCATCCAGGAGAAACTCAGCCTTAATCTGGATCATAAATCCCAGATCTTCCAGAACCTCAATGGGGCTTTAGGTGAGGAGGGAAGCAGTCAGAGATGGGCGATGAGAGGCTTTGCTGCTGGGGGTTCTGAATTGGGAAGGACTCTTGGTAGAACTGTGCTGGTCACTTATCTTTACGTGAACTTCATTAAACATCTGAGCTGCTGATGGAATAGCTGCACTGTGTTAATAATAATCAAAGCAGTAGAAGTGAAAATGTACCTGACATCTATTGATCACAAACTACATGCCAAGGCACTGGGCCAGGGGCTTTATTTCTGTGATTTCATTTAACATAACGATGCTACAGACAGAGGGTCCCTGGTTATCCACATTGTACTGATGAGAAAACTGACTCTCCTGATCACATAGGTAGTAAGTGGCAGCTCTCCAGGACAGCAGCCTGGTCAGAGCCTTCAGGAGAGTAAAGGTTCCTGCCCCTACGGAGCCTCCCTTTAAAACCTAGAGAAATTGGGACCCCCGTATTTAGAAGAACCTGTTGCTTGGCACCTCCCAGAGAAAGGGTGTCTAAAACCTGGCCTTTCTTCCCCAGACGAAGTGGTTTTGAAGTTTGATCGGAATCGTGTGCGTATCCGGAATGTGGCCTATGACACACTCCCCATTGTGGTCCATGGAAATGGTCCCACTAAGGTGCCTCCAGTGGCCTCTATCTCCAGCCCCTGTTCTGCCCCAACCCCTAGGTCCCCCAACCCTTCTGAGGAGTCGGTTCCCCCCAGTGCCAGCAGCAGCTGCCCTGTCCCCTCCTGTGTACCCCGGACCCCACTGCCTCAGCTGCTGACCATCTCTCCTCAACAGCTTCAGCTGAACTACCTGGGAAACTATGTCCCCAATGGCTGGACTCCAGAGGGAGGCTGTGGGTTCTGTAACCGGGACCGGAGGACACTCCTGGGGGGACAGGTGAGGAGGGGTTGCCAGGGTAGGGCAGGGGAGCTCACTGAAGGGGGCGCGCAGGGAGAGCATGCTGGGCAGCAGTGGGGGCACAGTTCCTGAGTACCCCGAAGGTGAGGGTGGGCAGCAGCTGGCAAGGGTTGGAGGGGGCAGTGGGGAGGCCTAGGCTTTCCTCTGAGCCCCGACACGTCGTCATCTCTTCCAGCCTCCCCCCCGGGTGCTTCTGGCCTTGTTTGTGGAACAACCTACCCCATTTCTGCCCCGCTTCCTGCAGCGGCTGCTGCTCCTGGACTACCCCCCCGACAGGGTCACCCTCTTCCTGCACAACAATGTGAGACACCAGGCAGCCTCTTCCTTGGGAACCCTCCCAAGAGACCCTCCCCCTGCCCTGATCAGAACTCCGGCCCCGCTCCCCTACCTCCATCCCGCACCCTTTCCATTCCCCCTCAGGCGCCATCTTTCCCGCCCTCTCAGTCCGCTCCCATCTCACCCCATCCCCAGGAGGTGTACCACGAGCCTCACATTGCAGACTCCTGGCCACAGCTCCAGGACCACTTCTCAGTGGTGAAGCTGGTGGGGCCAGAGGAGGCCCTAAGCCCAGGCGAAGCCAGGGACATGGCCATGTGAGTGTGTACTGAGCTGGGGGTGCCACCCGCTGCCACCGCATGCACGTGCTCCCCTCCCTTGTCCAAATCTGGAGAAGGAAGGACACTGGATTTCCTCCTCTTCTGTTCGGGGGTTTAGAGAGAGTTCCACCCAGTTTTCCATCCTCCTTCCACTCCCCACTTCATCTGATCTCTCCGTGGGTCTGTCACCTACAGGGACAGCTGTCGACAGGACCCGGAGTGTGAATTCTACTTCAGTCTGGATGCCGACACTGTCCTCACCAACCACCAGACTCTACGCATCCTCATTGAGGAAAACAGGTCACTCACCCTGCTCAGCCACAGCACTCCATGGTCCCCAGGAGCCCCACTCCTTCCCCAGTCTGGGGCTCCCCAAAGCCACCTCCCTCTGCCCAGCCCTCACCCCCACCTTGTCTGCAGGAAGGTGATAGCACCCATGTTGTCCCGCCATGGCAAGCTGTGGTCCAACTTCTGGGGAGCCCTGAGCCCCGATGAGTACTATGCCCGCTCCGAGGACTACGTGGAGCTGGTGCAACGGAAACGCTCGTGAGTCCCACCCGTGCTACAGCCCTCCCCTGCCCCCTGGCCTGGCACCTGCCCCTCTCCCAAGCCCCCATGCTTGGGGATCCAGTGTGGTCTCCAGCCAGATGGGCCATGGCTTGGGTAGGGACTGACTGTGGGTCAGGAGATGTGGTGGTCATGACCAGCAATGCTTGACAGGGGATGTGAGGGGCCCTCGGGTCCAGGGAGCAGGATTCCATGGGGGAAGGAAATCCCAGGATGAACTGGGCAGAATTGGGGTGACCACCCACCTGGCTGACCTTAGTGTCGGTGCCTCCAGGGGTGTGTGGAATGTGCCTTACATATCTCAGGCATATTTGATTCGTGGGGAGACCTTGAGGACAGAGCTGCCCCAGAGGGAGGTGTTCTCAGGCAGTGATACCGACCCAGACATGGCATTCTGTAAGATCCTGCGGGACAAGGTGAGCGGGCAGTCAGGCCTAGGGTGGGGGCAAATGCTGGGATGCTGGGGGGCAGCTACCTAGGGTCTCCTTTAACACACGCTCTCACCCCCATTCTAGGGCATCTTCCTCCACCTCAGCAATCAGCAAGAATTTGGCCGACTCCTGGCCACTTCCCGGTATGACACAGACCACCTGCACCCTGACCTCTGGCAGATCTTCGACAATCCCCTCGTGAGTGGACCCCTCCCTCAGAGAATGCACATTTCCTGTCCTTCACTAAGGAGGATGCCAAGGCAGAGGGGCACCCCGTGCAGGATCCAATACTGCCTGGAGAGGGTGTGGCCCCAGGGCCCGGAGGGAAGAGGGCAGAAATCTGAGGCGGGCCCCTGACCCTCCTGCAGGACTGGAAGGAGCAGTACATACACGAGAACTACAGCCGGGCCCTGGAAGAGGAAGGAATTGTGGAACAGGTGAGCACACTCAGGACCCTGGCCATCCCAAAGGCTGTCGCCTCTGGGTCCTCCACCACCTGGCTCAGTGGTTTTCAAACTGAGTTCCCTCAGGGGCCTGCAGGGTTTCTGCTCGGGCAAGAGGAGTGCAAAGTCTGAGCATATAGGGCTCCAGCCTCCAAACCCAGTGCTAATCAGTGACTCCTCTTCTGTCTATTGGGTATATTGGTGTTAGGGAGAAAGTGCATCTTTAAAGAGAGATGCACTGTTGTAAAGAACTTTGAAAACCACTGTCCCAGAGCCTGGACCTCCAGGACCCTCCTGCCATCTGTGCTGTGCCAGTGGGGTGGCTCTTGGCCCTGCTCCCCTCGTCCTCTGTGCCATCCTCCCTCCCCCAGCCTGGGCCTGGCCCATCCCCAGCTTCCTCCGTCTTCTGGCTTCCCTTTCTCCTCCCTGCTTTTTCTCACCTCCATTTGCGACCGGTCCCCTTCCCTGTTCTTCTTCCCTGCCCCATCCTCAGCCGTGTCCAGATGTGTACTGGTTCCCACTGCTGTCAGACCAGATGTGTGACGAGCTGGTGGAGGAAATGGAGCACTATGGCCAGTGGTCAGGAGGCCGGCATGAGGTGAGGGGTTGGGAGGTAAGGGAGGATGCCCAGAAAAAGGGACATGCTGGGTTTGACCAAGGGATGATGAGATTGGTAAAGTGGTAGTGGAGGGGGTCCCCAAGGGGTACAGCTGTATTGAGTCATTCACTCATTCATTCATTCCTTCATTCAAGAAATATTTTCTGGACCGCTACCCCAGACAGTGCAGGTGCTGTGATGAATGTTTCGGGCTGGGCTCTGCCCTCCTGTAAGGAGCAGCGACGGCAGCCCAGTTTCTAAAGGCTGTGATGGACAGCCCAGGGGCTGTAGGAGTCATAGGAGGGGTCCTGCACCCAGACTTGGGAGGACCAGGGCACTGCACAGGAAAGGTGACATCTTAGCTGAGACTCAAAGGGCCAGCAGCAGTGAGTCCAGCTGAGAAGACTGTTCCAGGCACAGGGCACACAAGTGTGAAGTCCTGGGAGCAAGAGGAGCAGGGAGGCTGGCACTGTGAGGGGACATGCCCAGAGGGTGTGGGGGTAGCTCAGTGCTCACTGCCCACAGGATTCAAGGCTGGCTGGAGGCTATGAGAATGTGCCCACCGTAGACATCCACATGAAACAGGTGGGCTATGAGGACCAGTGGCTGCAGCTGCTGAGGACGTACGTGGGGCCCATGACGGAGTACCTGTTCCCTGGCTACCACACCAAGGTGGGCTGCTGCACCTGCCGCCACTCCCCCTCCACCTTCCCGCATCCCAGTCCCAGGCTGGAAGCCTCCATGCTGAGCCCTTTCAGCCCCTGTAGCTCTATGGGCTCCCCGGAATCCAGTTCCCAGGTACAAGACACTGTAGGAGGGCAGCCTCGGGGAAGGAGCAGCCAGGCGGGGGCTCAGCTCTAACACCACTCAGCAGGAGGCCCTTCCACGCCATCCCGCAGCTTCTCCTCTTGTGTCCCCCAGACCCGAGCAGTAATGAACTTTGTGGTCCGCTACCGGCCAGATGAGCAGCCGTCTCTGCGGCCGCATCACGACTCTTCCACCTTCACCCTCAATGTTGCCCTCAACCACAAGGGCCTGGATTATGAGGTGAGCCCTGGCACCCCCATACCACACACTCCACCTCGGGGTCCTTTGTCCCCCGAGAACCCCTGCGTACGCCCCTCAGCTGCCCTCCCTGCCTCTAGCTGGGCCTTGTCGCATTTCCCAGTTCTTTCATGAGTCTCAACTCCGGGCTCCCTTTTGGGTCAGCTGCCTCCATTCCTCTGTGTTTCTCTTGTCTGCGGTACCCTCATCCCTCGGCTCTGTCTCACCGATCCCCTGCCTTTGTACCCACCTGCTCACTGATACCCACATCTGCTCACTCTCCCTTTCTTGTCCCTTCTCCTCCTCCCAGGGAGGTGGCTGCCGCTTCCTGCGCTATGACTGCGTGGTCTCGTCCCCACGGAAGGGCTGGGGGCTCCTGCACCCTGGCCGCCTCACCCACTACCATGAGGGGCTGCCCACGACTCAGGGCACTCGCTACATCATGGTGTCTTTTGTTGACCCTTGACACTCAACCACTCTGCCAACCCTTCCCTGCCGTTGTTTGTGCCTTCTTGAAGGCCTGGCCCCCCATCCCTGGAAGGGGGACTGTCTTATCTCCTCACTTCCTGAGTGTGTGTTCTGTGTGCCTGGGACTGAATGTGTTGCCTTACCCCCAACACACGGCCCTCTCAGGAAGCTCTGGGCCCCTGCTCCTCCCCTCAGCCCCCAAGGCTTCATGGGGAGAGGGCTTGTGGGGATTCCCTGTGTGATAAGTTATTAAGGTTTCTCAGCCCCCTCCCAATAAAGGAGGATTTGTAATTCTCGAGTCCATCTGTTATCTTTCATCTTCCTGTTGACCCCATCTCCCCCCCGCCTCCCAGAGTAGAGGGGAGACCTGATTCATTTTAAAGAAGCGGGACAAAGAGGAGGAAGAGGGAGAAGCTGAGGTTAGACACGTGTGGGAACTGGAAGCTTCCCGGGATCCCATTTTCTCACTCCCCTTTATTGCCTGTGCTGGGGAGGCACTCGACAGGTCAGGTTCAGCTGGGAGACTGCCCCCACCCCAACCCTGCAGGCTTCTCACTGGTCCTCTCATCCTCAATGACACGTTCTTCCCTCTCTGCGTGAAGGCTGGGTGGCATAGCCCCGAGCTGGGCTCTGGGGACAGTGCTAGGGGAAGGAAGCCCTACTGGAAGCATGTGTTCTAATGAGCAGGACAGGATGGAGTCCCCGCTGCACTGTCCTGGACCTAAGCCTCCTAGAGGAAGGAAATGCAGAGCAGCCTTGAAAAGGAGGATCAAGACCTCCTGAGAGCAGGTCTTGCTTCTAGCCTCTGTGGGACCCCCTTGAGGTGCCCTGGGGACAGCAGGTCATGCTCCTTTAGCTTAGGCTTCCCCAGCCTTGCATTATCTCCCACCTGTTCCCTTTTGGTTGGAGGCCTTTTAAAATTCCAACAGGCTTGTTAACCTATCCCAGGACGTTTCCTGCCTCCAACATCTCACCAACCACAGCTAGAATCGCCTTCTCCCTTCCTCCTGCTCAGCCTCCCAGGAAAACCTACTTTATGAAGGCTGCCTTCCTGGGAGGTGGGGCAGGTCATCTTTCCATGTGGACTGAGCGCCTTTTTAGCCAGACTTTTCAATCCATCTCACCATGGCCCCCACCACCCTTGTCACATGGCCTGTGGATGGAAGTGGGCCCAGCAGGGACAGAAGAAAACAGCTCTTGGCGAGGTCCCCGGACAGGGAAGCCTGCATGAGAGGGAGATGGGCAGGGGATAGAAGGTGTGCCTGGCCTGTGCAGTAGGTCCTGGGCTCTGGAAGCCAGCCCAGTCGGTCTCCTCCAGACCCACCACTCATTTATTGAGCATCTTCCTGGTGCTGGGCACTATGCGTGTCTCGAAGGCTGCAGCCAAGTGCATGATGACTGTCCTGTTGCTTATAGCTGGGGCGAGACAACCTTCATCAGAGAATCACCTCAGTGACGGTGAAGTGTAAGTGTTTCACACTAGGAGGACATATGACAGAGGCACCTGATGAGGGGAGTCAGGCTTCCCTGAAGAAAGGACATTCTCTGACCTGGGGAAGGCGCTGGCTCCCACAGGCCTCTGGTCAGTGCGGGCAAGGCCACGGTGATGGTGAGGACACTCGAGGGTGTGCCCCAGAGCTCAGTGGGCCTTCTCTTGAGCGGTTCACCCATCTTCAGTCTTTCCCACAAAGCCCTCCCCTCTAGAGTGGCTCCTCCCACAGAGGCCTAAGCTGCTCCTTAGGGAATACACACTTCAGCAGGTCCTCAACCTCAGGGTCCAGGCCCTGTGGCTGAGGGGTCTTCAAACTTTTCTTACTCTGGTGAAGAGTGAACCCTGTCCTCATGGCTGACTCCCCTTAGGCAAACTCCTGCTTTTCCAGACCTCCACTAGCCCAGCCCCTTGCAGAGCCACTTGGCCATGACCTCCTTGAGGTTCAAATGCCTTCCCCTAGGCCCCTGGCCACACCCCTGATCATTTCCTTTGGTCCTATTGGTCATAGCTCTGTGAGCTCAGGTAATGATTAACCCTTCCTGGCCCCTGCTAACGTGGCTCCAGGGTGCAAAGGGGGTGGGAAAAGGGGCAGGGCCAGGGCCAGGGGTCAGGGCCAGTGGGTTGGGCCGCAAGGGGGCTGCTTAATAGCTGTGGATGGCCCCTGTGCAACTCTCCTGCACAGTATGGCAGCCTCCTCCAGCTTCCTCTGCAGGGGTCTCCAAGTGTTCGCTGTCCTGCAATGGGTCTTTTCTTTCTTGGGGCTCGGTGAGTCCCCAAAGCCTGTGGATGGGTGCCCTGGTACCTGGAACACGGGCACTCTGTTTCCCCATTACCTCAAGGGAGGTGGTATAGGGATCTCTGGGGTCCTTGGAATCTGGGGGAGCAAGTGGGATGGACATCATGGAACTAGGGAAGGGGGCAGCAGGGAGGCTGGGGCTTAAACACCTGGGTTCTGAGCACTCCCCGCCCCTATCCTCCAGCCCAGGTGTGCCTGGTGGTGGTGCTCCTTGCATTCCTAGGCCGGGCCTGGATCCTAGTGGTCCTCTACCTGGTCTGGCTCTATGGAGATAGGGACACACCCAGGGCCGGAGGCCGCCGCTCCGCCTGGGTCCGCAACTGGGCGATCTGGAGACATTTCTGTGACTACTTCCCCATCTCGGTGAGGGCACGGTCCGGTGTGCTGGGTGGGGTGGGGCTTCAGAATAGACTACTGGGACCACCGTTTCCCAAATCCCTATCTCACTGGCGGGGTGGGGCCCTGCCCTCTGCTCGCAGCTTGTTAAAACCGCAGAGTTGGATCCCTCCCGGAACTACCTCTTCGGCTTCCACCCTCACGGAGTCCTGGTCGTCGGGGCCTTTGGCAACTTCTGCACCGAGGCCACGGGCTTCTCCCGCCTCTTCCGCGGCCTCCGGCCGCACCTGCTCATGCTGCCCTGTTGGTTCCACCTGCCTCTCTTCCGGGACTACATCATGTCTGCTGGTGAGGAGGGGGAGCCCGGCCTCAAGACCCCCACTCCTGCTGTCACCTTTCACCTCGCCCTCCTCCTGTCCTGGGTCTCCTGGGCCCGGCACTACCTTCCCGGTGTCCTCCCGCCTCTTCTCCCGAACACCCAAGCGTCGAGTCCCCCTGTCTTTGCCCTTCCCCCAGGTTTAGTCTCCTCGGACAAGGCCAGCGCCGCCCATCTGTTGTCCCGGCCTGGGGGCGGCCAGGTGGCCGTCCTGGCCGTGGGAGGCCCCCTGGAGGCGCTGGAGGCGAAACCCGGAACGCTGAGCCTGCGGATCCGGAATCAGAAGGGCTTCGTCAAGCTGGCGCTGGAACACGGGTGAGGAGCCGGCCCGTGGACGCGCGGTGCTCCCGGGCTGCCCTGCAGGGGAGGAGCGCGGCGCTCCGGGGCGGGGAGTCAGCCGCGCCCCTGCTCCCCAGGGCCTCGCTGGTGCCTGTCTTCTCGTTCGGGGAGAACGAGCTCTTCCAGCAGTTCCCGAACCCGCCGGGCTCGTGGGTGCGGAGGGCGCAGGAAACGCTGCAGCCGCTGCTGAGCGTGGCCCTGCCGCTGTTCCACGGCCGCCTGGGCCTGCTGTTGCCCTTCCGCGCGCCCATCCACACCGTCGGTGAGCCCCGGCCCCGCACCCTGCCCGCGCCGGCCTTTGGCGCCGCCCCAGCCCTGATCCCAGTGACCGCCCCCTTGCCTCCTGTTGCGCCCGCAGTGGGGGCTCCGATTCCCGTGCGGCGAAGCCCGCGGCCCAGTCGGGCCCAGGTGGACGCGCTGCACGCGCTCTACGTGGAGCGGCTCGAGCAGCTGTTCGAGGAGCACAAGGCGCGCTATGGTGTCCCTGCGGACAGGCACCTTGTCCTCACCTAGGCGCGCCATCGCCACCTGGCCCTTCCCGGTCCCCCGGTGACTGCGGGTGGGGGAGTGAAATTAAAGGTGGGGAACAGACCTGTAGCGTTTGTGTGTTTGTGCCCGGTGGGGGTGGGGGTGGTGGGAGGTCCAGGCGCGGTGGTGGTGGCTCCGGGGTGGCCTTGACACTGCCCGAGACCTGCAAACAGGTCAGGGCGGGCGTCAGGGTCCTGCTGGACGGCAGTGGAGAGCAGTCTCGGTTGGGCTCCCGGCGGCGGCAGCGCCTGGGACCAGTGGGCGGTCTGGCCAGCTGCTTCTCGCCCACTCTGTATCCATCCCTGGGGCACCCAGGTGCCGCCCCTCCCTTGCACAACCCCTGCCCCCCTCCCATCCCCGGCCAGTGGCCAGCGCAGACGGACCAACAGAGGAAGTTCAAAGATCAGTCTGAGAAGGAGCCTGGAGACGTCCAGGGCTCCGGATACAAAGATCTTCCCACCCACACACCCCACACATGCCATTCTGGGAGGCGACTTGCGACTCTGCCAGGCCCCTTCCTTGCTCCTCGCTCCTCCCTCGTCCGACCAGCAAGAAAGTCATACCAAGCGCGTGCCCAAACCTTCCTTGTCTGTCCTGGAGCCCTGCTGGCAGAGGGGAGCTTGGGATGGCAGCGTCTGTAGGCCTGCAGCCTTCCGCTGCCATGAAAACCCTACGGAAGCAGTGGCTAGAAGCGTTGGGTGCCTACCAATATGTGCTCACTTTCCTCTTCATGGGTGAGAGGCAGGGAGGCATGGGTGCCTGCGGTCTGCCAGGGAGAGGGGGCTGGAGGGAGAATGGCTGGGCTGCTGGCCCGGATGCCTGAGGGCAAAGCGACAGGAGAGGGCCAGCGGAGATGGCCTGTGTTGGGTGGAGGTGGAAGGGAGGGATGTGTCTGGATGGAATAACTGAGTTTCAGAAGCTAATTCATTTTTCTTTCTCACCTTTCACCCAGGCCCTTTCTTTTCCCTTGTTCTCTTCTTTCTCCTCTTCACGTCACTCTGGTTGTTCTCTGTTCTCTACTTGGTGTGGCTCTACCTGGACTGGGACACACCCAGCCAAGGTGAGATCAAGACAACAGGTCCCAGGTAGTGAGAGATGGTGGAAGGGTGCCTGGAGGCTGCTTCCAGGGATTCTTCCACCCGTATCTCTCTGCTCAAAGGTGGAAGGCGTTTTCAATGGATGCGGAAGCGGATGATGTGGAAACACCTAAGGGATTATTATCCTGTCAAGGTGATGGGTCACTGGTAGAGAGACTTCTTCCTCCCTCTTCCCCCCCCCCACTCACCCTTCCTTACCCTGAAGTTTGAGCCTCAGCTGCCTGAGATGGCTCGGTGAGGCAGAGGGTGGGGTCGTGTTCAAGAGTGGGCCCCCATGCCCTTGATCCTGTCCTAGGACCTTGAACTCTGAAGTCTTTGGGGTGGAAGGCAACTC